TCGTTTTTAAAGCACCTGGATTTTCGCACTCGTTCAAAAAAGCTTCCTTAAGACGATCAAGATAGCTGAATATCGTGCCACTTAAATATCGTTTCCAGTCGCTGCAGCATACTTTGCAGGACACTGTCTAGTTGACGCTTAATTTAAATCGATAGATAACCGAAACATTACCGCCATTCTTCGTGGCTCTGTTTGCCGGTGTGCCTGCGTGACATAACACCCCGATCTGAGCAGTAACACGGACCCCGAGAGTGAAGTTTCAAACTAAATCACATGTATGACCGATGTGTACAAGCGAACAAGGTTGGAAAAATACGAAGCCTAGGCTAATTCACTGGATCACATACCGACGCTATGCTTAGCGGCGGACATCGGGTAGGTGCAGTGCAAAATGGGCTACAGACGAAAAGGTAACTAGTTATTCAGATTAACTTGTTAGCACTGTTGTAATTGTTTTCACCAAAATGCGCAAAATTATTGCAAAATGAGAGATCGGAGCAGCTCATCAAGCGCACTTTGGTTTCGTGAAACGTGTTCGGCTGTCCCAATTGTCAAGTAGGCGCACATATTAGTCCAGAAGTGCGACAGATTCGGAACAGCGGAGGAAGGCTAGTATTTAATCCTTAGAAGCGAGCAAGTACTAGAAAAGCACATTGCCTTCTAAGTAAAAATAGTGTGAATGATTTGTGTCCTTGGAACCAAGTGCGGTAAATTTACCATCGCTGGTATCTCCTCCAACTGTGGTAGAACGTCGGTCAAAAATAGACAGGGGCTTTGATACACAAGCGGTACTCGTGAGAACGAAAACCACGTGCCATCCGAAACATATAGCCGGTCAAGTCACGTCGGGCTTATCAGCCTATATACTTACCGAGAATGAAGCAGTCAAAATACTAAACACTTGCATCTTCAGTTCGAAGGTCTCTGGTTGAACCTAAATCCCAAGGTACACCATTCACAATTGCAGAGATTGTTGTAATGACCACCTATGAAGCCAGACCTATGGTCACGTCTGTTATAGACGGCACTGACGTGAATGGGGAAACAACAGTAAGCAGTTTGCTCAGAGAAGACAAGTTCATAAATCAGCAAAGAATGGTAAAGACCTTCGGCACCAATTATGGTTGGCGGCATCCGGTTCCGGATTTGCCTGTCACTGCGGCCTTAGGATAGCCACAGGACACCATGGGTGGTTTGCGCTGCATCACTCACAGCTCAATCCACACACATCATATCCAGTGTGAACCCGAAGGAATAAGACCGGGAGGTATGTGGAGCCACGTTTCACCGACGGAGCCGGTCCACACTCCTTCAACATGCACAATAGCAGCATTTCTGTCTAGCTATGTAGAGAATCACGCGTACCAGACGTTAATAAGGCGGTGATTTGGAAGTAGCCCGTTCCACAATGGATGCAGAGTGCCACTCTTCTAGTCTGACACGACCACGAGGACCGTGCACCCCGTCCCACACCATCAAGGATTCACGGTCTCCTGGAGCCAGTATAGGCTAAGTGGAGGGTGCTAGACAAGTAGGCACCTTGTCAATATGCACATCAAGCGTAGCCACACCGGGGATGTGTGGTGGCTGTCTGTCTGAGTCTAGCTGTGACAAATCATCACAAAATAACCCGATAAATCTCTCTGCTATTCACTAATAACCAACGTAGAAGGTGAAGGGAAATAAACATGCACAATCGACACGAAACATTCAGTGGAATAACGGAACTGAGAAAAGCAAATATAGTGGAATACTTTCTATACAGATTAGGAAGATGTAATCTAGACGAATGTCGGTGTAGCCCAAATGCGGTGAAGAAGCATGATATATGCAATATCAACCTCACTTTGAGGCAATGGGACTTGTCCTTTTACCACTGACACCATTGGCAAGCAAAACTATCATGTAGTTGATGCTAATAGCCAAAAGCACTGGAAACAGCAGCCAGAGAGTTAGCGGATCTTTTGGCTCAATTCTTTTAGAAGGACTTAAATCAGAACCAGGCTCCTGCCATGAGGAATCTTGGAATAATCACTACGATCAACAAAAAAAGAAGAAAGACTAAACCTTTAAACTGACAACTGGCATTTTTGCTTCCCATGTTGTCCAAGCTCATGGAATCTATCATCGCCGATAAGCTGATGGCCTAGCTGGAAAAATAAGGAATTATTGCTTTCAAACAGTAGCGCTTTCGTCGACATCAATCGTGCAACACGAAGTTATTAACTGCATGGAGTAGCTAGGCCAAGTCAGCCAACTATGGAGAGGGCTTTGTCGTCTATCTAGATTTTTCGAAAGCATTCGACCGTCTAGGTCATTGAATCTCCCTTTCTAAGTTCCAGTATTACGGTCGGTGATTCTCTCTTGAGTTGGATGGCCAATTTTCTCCTCCAACGGTAGCCAGAGTTCGAAGATGTTTATCCAACCAAATGTACCACAAGTTGAGTGTGGCGTGCCTCAGGGCACAGTCCTAGGTCCCTATTTAGTCTTGGTGCTTAGTACTGGTCTCGCACAGATTATCGACACAAATTTCTTGCTTTTTACTGACGACGTCAACATATGGTGCAGGATTCAGACGAAAACCCATCAGTATTTGCTCCAGTGCGACACAGATAAGGAATAACAGTGGACACTCGAAATCTACTGCTGTTAAACACGAGCAAATGCAAGGCACTCTCCGTAAGACACTAGACCACTGCAAGCTCGGAATGCATGTGATGCAGTACCCTTCCTTTGAACGTGACCTAGGAGTACTGGTTCGAGGTGACTCGGGTTGTTTCATGCAATCCGAAAAGCATCGAAGGCTGATAATCAAAACGTCGGACTTTTAAGAAGAGTGTCCGGACAAATCAAAATCTCAAATGTTCCAATGATGCTGTGTTCGTGTTCGCCTCCAAGTTGAATACGGAATGCAAGGCTGGCACCCATGACTAAAAGACAAGCTCATTGCTCGGGAGTAACCTCAAAGTCAGCCTTCCAAACACTATTGGAATGAGTAATCTCATAAAAGAGCAGAGGCTAAGACGTCTGGAAGTAATCAGAGGACGGCATCATCAATTACGAGGCGACCTGATTGTCGCCTGCACGATCCAAATCATGTGTGCCGCTCTTTAATGTAATTCAGGCCACTCTTTGAAACTAGCAAAACAGTATGAGTGTGTCACACCCTGTATGGACTACCCGAATCGATCGTTTCCGCACCGACATTAGCCATAGTTAAAAGATGTTTGGATCAGGCACTTAGCCATTTACATTGTCAGTCCTGGGAAAAAACCTTGGGTATACTGTCCGTTATCAAATCGTGCTGTGCAAATAAAGGAGAGCAGAGCGAGTGCGTCGCAAACAAGCAAAAGGATGTCATTATTTGCCGGTAATAGTATTAAGAGTCTTACTTTTTAACTTTGGATACCTGCACTCAACGGGACTTGTAAAGTAATGCGTCTTAACCCGTATATAATTATCGTCTATAGTAGTATTGGGGCAATTGATGCTTGTCGACCAAACTGCAATAAGATGTGCATATCAGTCTTAGGGAGAATAGAGGGTTCCAAATAGAAACGGATGAACTAATATTGTCAGTACGGTTAAATATAAAATTATCGACTGGACTGGAGCGAGACCCTGCGATTGGTTGTGAGTCGAAACTAGGAGGCCGGCCCTTAGCCTTAGGGATCACAAGCCTGTACTGTAATCTGAGGGCGCGAGTTCGAGCCCGCGTATGGACCGTGAGACCCTCGCAGTATCCTTATCCCAAGGGCAACCGGCGGTGGTTGCGCGGCAGCAAAGCGTCGGTATTACGTACCTGCGTGCTGCTGATGCCTTTCTTACTTCTTTTCGATAATAGCAGACAAAGGGCCATAGAAACAAGGTGAGAAGAGGGATAAATTGGGTGGGGAGATAAAATAAGGTAAAAACTTCATGCCAAGGATGAAAAGGGGAAGAGAGGAATAAGAGCGCGGGTAGGTTTCAGTAGGAACATCTCCATCCGTATCCACTCTGCTCAATGCGGTAGAGTCGGCCGGTGGCCGAAAAGAATGCACGCCTGACTTTCAATTCATAGGTTAACAGTTCGAATCCGCGTAGGGGCGGGCATCCTCCCGGTGTACACAACCCACGCGCGACTGGTGATGGTCGCGTGGCAGTGAAGCGTCGGTACAGTGTGCCGGCGTACAGCTGATGACTTATGCATTACACAGGGAACCGTTAATCATCCTGTGTGAAGGATAGAGGATAAAGAAATTACCTGAAGAGGTCACGGTATTGCGTGGGCGAGATACTGCCAGATTGCCCAGGCATAGACAGGAGAACGATTAGGGTTTTCAATCAAAGCCTTTGGTTCAAAAAACTTAGCGTAAGACAGTAGGATTTTGGCACTGGGCTACAATGAGTCTGTTTTAAGGAATAGGGAGCCACCGTCACACCAACCCCCAAAATTGAGGACCACAAAGGTTGAGTTTGTCTGACCTCTAACTATTGAGCAAGCTGGGATTGGTGACTCAAAAAGCGCAAGCAGTACGATCCAGCACAGTTCTGTGGACTGTTGAGGTCCGCAGATTATCGCATCACGAAAAGATCCAGCCACATTACGTGCGATAATCCAGACTTACAGCGGGCACTGCAAAGCAATATTTAGTTTTTACTGACCTCACCCTTGGAGCGTTGCTTAGTCACCCATGGCAATATCGGGCGTGCAGTAATGCCAGAGGCCATGTGATGGTAAAATCAGCTAAGCACCATCGCTCCACGGACAATATACCCTATATGAGTGCCGCTGATGGTCCCTGCTGAGCCTGCGCTAGTGTCACATGGTGGCGTACCAGGGGGCTTGAAGATGGGAGCTTCAAAATTATCCACAACGGTGCACCCAGGGTTGGGGCCTCAGGGTAGGAGTAATGCTGACGAAACACTGGACTTAATCAAAGCATGGCTATGATGACTATCGTTTGTAAGGAAAATAAATAAATACAGACGAGGAGGCACGATGGTAAGGTGGGACGTACTCGAACACGTCGCTCGAATGGGATCACAAAGGGAAGCTCCTTTAAAATAAGTACCTGGCGTATCTCGCGATTCGACAAGAGGAGGGGATCAGTGCCATCTGAAGTGACGAAAGACAAAAAGCAAGAGAATACGATGAGCGAATATAAATCCAAGGTCAGAGCGATGGCAGTATGAGACTATACGAAACCAGATAAGAACTTTGCTGGTGTCTGGAAAACATCTTAAGGAAGGTATGTAAAAAGTAGATCGAGCATACTACGAATGAAGCGGAAATGAGAGTACTAAATTAGTAGGACGCTCCGTAGAAATTCCAATTTTAAATGAGTTTTCTGGGTTGAAACATAGATGAGTGGGTGGAAAACAACATACTACCTTCTGACTTTGACACGCAACAAGCTAGAAACGAAATTAGCGATCATGGAATAACGCCGGGATGCAATTCAACAGTCCGCTGTCAACGCGAATATGTAGTTTCAGGTCAGAAGCTTCGCGATCGTTCTATTTGGTTCTCATCCTTTCGAAATAACAGATGCTTTACTTGAGACTCACAGATAAGCGCTTGAGAAGTGATCGGTGATGAATACCTAGAGAATGTTGTCCATGTTCTGACGATTTTAGGAGTACAAAGGTGCGTTCGTGAAACAATTGAATGGGGAGACGGAATATGAGCGAGTGATGCGATGTACAACTCATAATGAGGAAGACAGTGATATGAGAACTTGCCCCGACCACGATCAGCATTGAGCCGGCTATGGTAGCCAAATGGAGCACCTGACATCGTCAGAGTGATTTTGTCTCCGCCACGTAACCAGCCCTTCAACGAAGTGTCGATGGAAGTGGCTATACTTTCTTTGAACCAGACGGCTTGGCTTTCGGTGGGAAGGAGGCCACAAATCGAGCGGCGCTCACGGTCGTAGGATGCGGAGAAGGCGGTCTCAGACGATTCGGAGCCATTCGAACACAAAGCATCGGTGTCCGACTGTCGACTCACTCGTCGATGCCAGTCGTAAATTTGAAAGACCAAACGTTGCACGCGGTAGAACAAACTTGACCAACAATGAAGCTGAGCGCGAAGGTCTTGCACGGACTGTAAAATGCATAGGTGGCGGAGAACAAAAAGTGACAACGGAGTCGGTGAATCATTCATTCATTCAGTATAGATGTTAGCTAGAGGTGGAAAATATCCAGCTACTGTGCCGCAATACATGAAAGAAAAAAATGCAACAGATGCACGTTAGCTGAGCTACCAGTAACGGATGGGTGTCGTCCTGTAAAGCTACCAGCCGACCGCAATGCAAGAAAAAGTTATTATGCTAATAAATGAGATCGTGGTTGGAGGGGGAGGCTAAGAGGAATGGGGAGGGACAAAGAAAGTCACAGCTCCTAGCCATGTCAGCAAGTATATCCAGCCAAGCGTGTTCGTCTTTTGGACCCCAACCAAGAAGCCGAGACGCTCCAACTGAGAGCAGCTTCAGAGTGAGGGATTTCATTCCTCTCGATCAAGTCATCGCTTGGGCACCTCTCCTCTTCTTCCATCCAAGCCCCCGGCGCGCAAACAACGCACCTCGCGGGAGCCGGTGGGCTGACAAGCGTAACACATGGCCGAGCCATCGGAGCCCGGTGTGTGAAATAACGGCGGTGAAAGATTTCCTTCCTTTTTCTGTGTTGTAAACAAGACGTCGAACACGCTCGTTGCTCATGCGATGTTCCCACTAGATGTGAGCCAAACTGCGAAGGCACCGGTGATCGAACGTAACTAGCCACTTTATGTCGGCTGATATAAGGGACCAGGTTTCACAACCGTAAGTTAGGGTCGGACGTACCGTCTTGCATTGTACACCCTACCCTTTAGGGCAAAAGTGATGTCACGCCGGCGCCATAGATGATGAAGGTTAGTAAAAGCACCTCAAGCTTTTGTTATACGGTTAGACAAAATACTCAGAGTGAGCAGATAAAGCCTGGAGTGATTGACCTGACCGGAGCAGAGGACGACTGAAGATTTTGCCACGCAAAGCACATAGCATACGAAGTTTAGCCAAAGTACTGAGGGAAACAGTTATGTGCACCGCATCAAGTGAGTATGGCAACAACATGAGAAGCATGTTCACTAAACAGACGCACAGCCAGGAACGGCAATCGCAGGTGGTGTCACAAGGCGATAGAAAATTCGAAAGTCCGTAGCAAGCAAAAGAAAAACACTAGCACAAACGAAACGGAACGTGTTTGTCACTACTAAGCCGAAGAGGATTTCTTCAAAATTGGTAGAGATCTGCTCGTTTTTGTGCTACGTGATGAAAGTTTCGATGATCTGAGCGGTTATGGTTCATTAAAGTGCTGACATATCTATACAGAATGTGAAAAGTAGACGGACTGTGTGAACATTTGGAGCGGCACCAAGTGCTGACTGTAAAATGCGTCCGGTCGAGGGTCGTAATAGACCAAGGGGGCGGAAAGGTAAAAACAAATAGTCCCTAGACGACTATACAGTTACATTACAGCCAGGGAGCAAGAGTCAGAGCTGGAAGTAGAATGCGTCTGTTTTATGCCTCGTGGCGAGCTGGATGGTGTTGTCACAGTGCCGATGAAGGACTTAACGCGAGGTGGCTGGATGGATGGTATGAAAACGAACCAGAGGTGGGTGTAATGACAATACAGAAGACGAAATGGGAAGGTAAACAGAAGAAAAAACGACAGTCACAATCTATGCTATATCCGACGACATCTTACCTGTTAGCTTGCTCCGAAGATAGTTTGATGTGCTACACTGACAACCGCTGCGTAACAGCGTGCAGACGCGAGAGATGGCTACTACACACCGGAGGCACTCACCAGTACAACCGAAGTTAGGCATATGGCAAGAAATTAGTTTGTTCGTGTGTTGGGATGTCTCAAGCAATCGGTTTGTACACGGCGAAAGCCCAATGTGCGATAAAAGAATAACAGCAACAGCAACTAGATGCAACTTAGCAAGGGTGTAACGGAAGGCATGCTATAGAGCGAAGTCCGGGAACCGAAGAGGCCTGCCTGTGGATTTAAACCCATTAAACAAATGCTATCCAAGGTACAAGTGCGCGAAAATGATCGTGTCAGCCAGTTAACTTATGGTGTCTCGGCAAGCTGTCATATGATCACGTGCTTCGAGTTTTCTGCCATCAAAGACAGCGGCAGGTGGAACAGTAACCACAGAACACCGAGGGTAAAAAGAGCTTTTTGTGTTTAAGAATCATTATAAGCTCCAAACTTCGTGTGTCGCGTACCCATCCAGAAAGGCTGCACCCGAAAGAGTCAGAGTGAGACGCACCACCCATAGCGGCTGTCTCGGCCCTCTGAGCAACACGTTCAAACAATTTCTGGTAATCAGGTGTGGTGAAGTTGGACATGGTGGGGTCGCAATCGTTACGCTGAGGTAGTTGATCCGGATGTGATATGTTGATCAGACCAAGCATTAAATTACGCAGTTGACAGCCGACTTGAAGTAACTGTTGAACATTAAATCCGCAGCCAAGTGAAGTCGGCTTCATTGTGGAACTGCCTGTTTCAAAGCTCTCGCCACCAATTTCCACATCAGTTAAACAGAGAAGCCGATGGTGCAAGCAACTGGCGAATGTCATCAACAAGGGGATGTATCTGAAACGGGGAAAAACAAATTGCACACAAGTGGGGGCAAAATTAGGATTTCAGGGAGATTAGTGAACAGAATGTTACTGTGGGTGAATTGTACATCAATATGCCCACACACAAGGGAGAGCGAGTCAATAGCTAGTCAAATCGATTTACGGTATACGAAAGTGTGAGTACTTGGCTTTATAACATTGCGTAGACTAAATATAAAGCAAAGAAATAGAGCAAAATCAACTTAAAGTGCGAATCAACTTTAAACCAACTGGCAACTAAGGCATGTAGACATGGAACATTAGATGAGGGCAGAATCTCCGGAAAGAGGGATGGATATGTCCTGAGCCATAGGTATAAGTGCTAAACCGAAAATGAATAAATACATCTGTCTTTCGCTACTCGTTTTTAGAACGCCAGGAGGAATAGAAAATGGTTAGCGTAAATTGGATACTATATTCGGTAAGTTTGATTTCAGCTTTAATGTTTCGCCTCTCACCACACCATTGCTCCTTATCGTCTACCCAAGTAAAAGAAAACTTGGTTCCTTTCATACACGGTGCTCTCCGTCAGGACGTCATGAATTAATCTGTGCTCATTCAAGACGTTGAATAGGACAACCATGTAGGTGAAAAACACGATTTTTATTTCTCCCTGACATTTGGAATATGCTGTAAATATTATAAGAAAGAAGTGTAAAAATTTGATCATGCCGAAAAGAGTATGTCTCGTAAACCTGAGAATACACATTAATATTATTATTATTATTATTATTATTACCGTGACGAATATTGTGAAACAATATGCTGACGGGACATAACCGATGAAAGGCGATGGAATCTAGTGGGTGGAGAAAGTTAGTTTACAAAGGAAATGGTCTGCAGGATGCGCGTCTAAATGGCAACGGATGAGTTAATGACGTCCAGCGTTAGTAAGATGTAACGAGAAAGCCAACAAGTTGCGATGAACGAACATCTAGTTAACGGTAACTACACAGGCAGTCAGTCAGAGGAGTGGAAAGCAGAGGAGGAAAAACTGGCGACAAGTTTTTGGAGTTGAGGATGAATCCGAAATTCCCAATTCAAAAGGATGGTTCTAGACGCGGATTGCAACTCGCAGGCATATAAAAATAACACGAGTAATTGCATTGTTATTGGGACAACTATATGCGTGCAAACGCCCACAAGAACCAATTTTACTTCGGTCACATGCCGCAGTAGAAATCGACTTCCAAATGTACAAACGAAAGATTCAACCGCATTGTACGTCCTGCAATATTCTCGAGGTAAAAATGCTGACATCCAGATAGGCGATTTTTATTCCATGAATGTTCGAATAATATGAAAGGACGAATCTTCGGTAAAACCAAGTAGTTCCAGCGAACACCAACCCTAAGGCTTTGTCCTCTACTTTGGTCTCCTGCAACCTGAAAAATATGTGCATAAAAATGTAACAAATCAGCTCTACCTAGAAATATCGAGAATTTGTCGAAAGCTTTTACGTGAATATCCCATTGACACATGCTTGGAGTAGGAAAATACTTCTAATGCTAGACTCCGTGGAAGTAAAGGTCTCGCAGAGTCGAGGGTAGGCACCTTTTTGATCGCGTATTGTAGAACGAATGTAATCTTTGATGGATTTTCACTACAATGACCAGTGCCCGCTAAAGTTGAGGTACATGATTGCAAACCAACGAGAAATGGACGTGATACTCTACCGCAAGAGAGAAGCAACAGGTACAGTTCTAACAAATGGGGTCCACCGCGTTGATCTACTAGGGGCGTTCAAGTCAGTCAGAGACTGCTTAAAAGATGTACAAACTTCATGAAATACAAGCGACATTTGTTTTCCAGAACACTCTTATCATTACTTCAGAATAATCGGCAATCCTCTTAACAGCCTATATGCCTTCGCGATTGATGGTGCTTTACAAAAGTCGTACTTCTAGGTGATATGATTGACGACCACTGATTTCGGATTTGTCTGTCACTGAGGTTTTCATGGGACAACCACAGGACGCTTGCGACTACAGAGGGACCATGGGTGGTTTGCGCTGCACCACTCACAGTTCCATCCACACACCACATATCCAGCTTCAACCCGTGGATGGGAAGAAGAATAGGCAGCAGTCTACTAAATAGACATAGTCAAACATAACCATCGAAATGACTAAAAGAAGACAAATCTAACACCGTATCATCATCATGGCACATTAACTGAAGGTGAACAGCATACTTCAGCTATTGCGCTATAATAAAAGACAAAAACGGAGAATTTTTTGTTATTTCGCATGCGCCATATTTTGTCATTTTCAAGCATTAAGCATCTAAATCTAAACAATTATGCACACAGATCCTCCACTGGTTCCGATTACAAGCTATGCCTTGAATTGTTTTCAGCCATCAGGACTACTCGTCGTTTGGTCCTCAACCAGGCAGAGGTGTGGATCCAATGATGGCAAGACGTGAAATCAAGGATTTCATCTGCAGTCGCCAGGTGGATGGCGTATCACATCGAGGTCTCTTCCAGTTGAGTCATGCAAGTGCAAACAGAACGCGATAGGGCAAACCCTCAGCTGACATACGCAGAACGCGACCGAGCCATCTTATCTGGTGCAGCAAAATCAGCTTGTTGAAGGGAATACTCGCATTCCCTAGGACATGACGTCTGACTTCACCGTTGCAGATAAGTTGTTGCCACAACACAAGAGCAATCGTCCTCAAGTACCCATTGTTGAAGGCCGAGAGCCGGCGCATATCATTTACGCGAACTGGTCATGAATCGCTTACGTGTAGCAGCACCGCCCGAACGGTAGCATTGTAAACACGACCCTGTAGCAAGACGGACACATCCCGAAGACGCCACAAGTGATGCAGGTTGACAAATGCCGACCGATCCTTGGCGATGTAAGGAGAAAGTTCTTTCTAATGGTACCACCAGCAGACACAGCAGCCCAAGAAGACAAACCTATACACAGGCTCATGCTGTGTACCCTAAATAGTGAGCACGGGAGCGGTCGAGTGCCAATCCTGAAGCAGAATTTTACACTTTGACGAGATAACGTACCCAGATGCCTCAATAGACAAACGGTCTATGTAAAGTATGGCACTCAGCCGATATATATCGGCTGTACCTACGGACGTCGCGGATTTTGGGATCAGCGTGTGCTGGATACTACTTTCGCCTCAGATTACTGTGTTATCAGCGTTTTATCTGTGTGAATTGTGCACCAATATTCCTCCTTTGGCGTATTTTCCAAGCGGTGCAAATTTGGCGACTATTCTTTGGCTACTTTCAGAGATTTCATTGATTTGCTCTACTGCCACCTCTGTCCGCCATCTTGAATTTGCTCTAGCTTGTGATGCCGTCTCAAACTACTTGTGGTTCGTGTTCGAAAGTTGTGGGAAATAAGGCTCATGCACTTCGGTGCTTCGGCTGTGAAGTTTTGTTCCATATTTCGTGCATTGGCTTATCCGTTGACGTGTTTCGAAAATCGCTCGACATCCAACATCGTTTTTTCAAGTTCTATGTGATAAATGTCGCAGCACAAGACATCAGAATACGCAGGGACCGCAAACAACTACGGGAAAATCTCTCTTTCAGATAGAAACAAACCGTTCACCACGTGGGAGCAAACGCCCTCGTGAAAGCACCTCTGTCACCTCGCCTTCTATTGTCACTCCGCGATCCGCACCATCACCAGCGTTTCCAACCCCGGCCGAGCCCCAGGTTCAATGTTCCCTACCGATGAAAGACTTAGACTCGGAAGCCAAGAAATGCCGCTTCACTGATCGGTCCGTGAATTTCTCAGAGGCTGTCTGTGAACTTCTGAACACCGAGGATCCATGGACCACCCAAAAGTGAAAGGACCCACGTAATCGAGTTCAGACGTCACCTGTTGATAAACAACAACCCAATCAGTTAAGCGCCTCTAGTTCTGCTCCCACAAGTTCATCACTGATTTCGTTGAAGCGTCATAATCTTATGGTCTTCCACGTACCAGAGTCAAAAGATGAAAACCCTCAGATACGTTATGATCACGATGTTGAGTTCCTCCAGGGGCTCGTCGATAGACTCTTGGATGTGGGCGAAGACAGTGTGACGATTAAACAAGCAATCCGACTTGGCCAGAAAACTAACCAGTCATGTCGACCTCTGAGAATCACCTTTGTAAATCCCAATATGCCGCAGCTCATACTGTCTCGTCTGTCAAGGCTGAAAGGCATAAAAGTTCACATCCGCCGGGACTTTGAACCCGAAGATAGGGATCGTTTGAAGACTGCGGTCATTGAGCTCAAACGCCGTACAGAGGAAGGTGAGACTGACTTACAAATTGTAAATTTTCGGGTGGTCAAGAAGGGTGTACGATGTCATTCAAAGGAGACTAAAATGGCAAGGGATTCAGATATCGTCTCCGTCAATCGGTCATTATCATCTTCATTATACACGTCGGTTAGAGGTGGGAAACACCTCAGCTATTGTGTCGCAATACATAAAGGAAAAAGAAAATAAATACAACAGTTGCATGCCAGCTGAGCTACCAGCAACGGATAGGCATCCTTCAGGTAAGCTACCTGCCGGCTACTAGGCAAAAAGAAAAAAATTATTGTGTTTTACACTACGAAATGAGATGGTAGGTGGAGGGGGAAGCTAAAAGGGATGGGAAGGGACAAAGAAACTCACAGCACGAACGCCACTGAGGTCGGCTCCTTGCCATGTCAGCAAGTGTATCCAGCCAAACGTGTTCACCGTCTTTTGGACCCCAACCAGGGAGCCGTGACGCTCCAACCGAGACCAGCTCCGAAGTGAGGGCCTTCATTCCTCTGACCAAGTCATCGCTTGACCACCCATCCTCTTCTTCCATCCACATCCCCGGTGAGCAAACAACGCACGTCGTGGAAGTCGGTGGACCGGCATGCGCAACACGTGGCCCAGCCATCGTGACATAGGTAGTACGCTGATGAGCATATGGTTTGGCATCAAATTAAGAAGTTGCTGTTTAAATCCACCCTGGA